ATTTTATTGTTTACCTTTGTTCAATAAAAAGCAATTGAATATAAAAACCTTATAAATTAGTCAGCGATTTTCTTAGTCACAATTACGTATTTTTATATTAATGTATACAGATTAGTTATAATAAATATCAATTTTGATTACAAATCATAATCTATATAATGAATACAAATTTTGAACTATTAAATATTATTATCTTTAATTCGTTTCCTTTATACATTTGGTGAAGCTTATATTCTAAAATTATATTTTTGATAAAGATGATAGACATTTCTTTATCACAAGTAGAAATTAACAAAATATTGATTATTTTACATGAATATTTCTTTCATCATATTTGTTATATCTTTATAAAATTAGATTCAGAGTTTACATTCTCTTTATTAAATTTATTTAACTCGATGTCTAGGATTGGTTTCAAGTTCTTCTGCTTAAAATTGAAGTATTAATATTTTTCATGGATGCATTCTATCATTTTATCAAATACAATAATCTTTTTTCATCTTTGAATTGATATAGAAAATTTTATTTCATTAAAAAATTTACATAAAATTTCTTTTAAAACTCTTAACACTTGATAAGTTATCAATAGGAAATTTTAAAGAATTGAAAATATTTTTCTTTCTACGAAAAGTTTGCAATTTAAATAAGTTAATTAGAGAAAAGTTTACATTATCATTATAAATTATAATAGTTAATAGTTTTGGTTTGATAGAATTTCTTTGTTTTTTGATGGTTTTATTTGAAGACATATGCTTTATTCTAGACAAAGGCGAATATAAAAGAAAATCCATCAATATAATCATGTAGTATGATCTATTTCACATTAAGCTAAATGATTTAATTCATTAAAAAAATAAAATAAAATGAGCTATTAAATAAACGTTTCAGATCCTTCTATTCGATTCATTCGAGACCAATAACTTCGACATCGAAATCGAAAATTGAGAAAAAATGAGCAAAATAAAACATCAACAATATCACATTTTACTCTAACAAACTGTACGAGTTTGATTGATATTTGTAATTCAAAGATTTTCGAATCTCAACTAATAGTTTATTTAATTATTAAAAATTTTCAAAACAAAAAATACGATAAAAGATTTGCACGTTTCGATATGTGCTTTATAAAAAATGAACAATGAAAAATAATATCTAATTTATCATATATTGTAAATAGATAAAAAGTATCAATTCTTGTGCAGAAATCATATCTTTACTGAAGAAAATCAGGCAAAAAAACCTATAGATGTTGCTCAGCATCAATTGTTGTGAGTTAATAAATGAGACAGTTTGAAAGAATTTTTCATTCATAGTTTTGTATTAGCGTCTATGGAACGTGACAGACTGGAATAAAAGTTGTTACTATTTGAAACTTCAAGAATTATATAAGTTTCACATTGTGTGCATTCGTGCAACTGTAGTAATAAACTTTTTCGAAATAAGTAGTTGATTAATTCATATATTAAACAAACCACTTTCTTTGCTCGATTAAGCCCAATATTTCAATCGATCGGCCCGATCGAAAAAAATCTTAGTGGTTCCAAGTATGGTACCGACAGTGAGAGAAGCAATAAAAATAATACTTTCTACCAAACTCTAACGAAATTTTTATGTTAAACATACGTTTTTGTTGAAACTAAATTTTTACAGCGACAAAAAATGCAAGTTAAACTTAGATTCGTCGCATTTTCTATAGAAATGTTACAAACATAAAGCAACTTCTACATTGATAAATTTTGTGTTCAAATAAAAATTTAATGATTGAATATATATTTAGTTCACTTTTGTCTATAAATATCATTCTGTTATTTTTTTATTAATGTATTAACTTTTAAATGAAGTTGTATATCATTCAGGTTCTAGTGCATTGTTCATAACATGTCGAAAAGAAGTTTGTTGGTTAAATCATCACGACAGACGTCGTTGTTGTACGAAATTATTTATTTTCGTGAGAGTTTATTGGTTGTCGTGCGTCAATATTCTATGTGTCGGCCGGTTGGTCGCACAGTAGCCGTAATTTAGTATTACTCAAGTTAGTTTAATTGAAAATTAATACCGAATTAGTTTGGTAGCAATAGTAAAGCCTAACAAAAAACAAAACAACATGTATGAAATCAAAAGAAACATCTTATTATTTACTAATATTATTTCTAGGTTCTTTTATTGAAGTATATCAGTTTCTATTTTTTAGTTTGTAATTAATATATCTAGTTTTATTATTTGTTTATCGTTCGTATCTTGTGTATAATGACATGTACAAATGAAATTTTCGATGTGATTATTGTTGGATGTGGCGCTGCTGGAATAGCAGCAGCAATCGAATTACAGACAATTCCACAATTAAAATTTATTCTACTCGAAGCTCGTAATCGTGTTGGTGGCCGTATTGTTACTGATACAACTACATTTGATATAAATACACCTGTTGATTTAGGTGCACAATGGGTACATCATTTTCGACCTGAACATCCTTTATATAAATATAATGAATTATCAAAAGATATTCATATTAATAATCATTTTATTTTTCGTTCATTAGCAACACCATTTTTTGATATTGATGGTACAAGAATATCTTCGGATAAAATTGAGAAAGCTGAAGAAATTTCTAATCGATTATGTAATATAATTAAAGAATCATCACTTTCAATAGATAAATCAATGTTTGATGTTATTAAAAGTGAATATATTCAGTACAATAATGATCCTCAAATGAAACGATTAATTGATTTATTTCTTGGTATTATTGAACAATATGAAGCATCAAATCTTGATCAATTATCAGCTAAATCTTATTTATTATCAGACAATGGTATTGATGAATATAATTTATCTATGCCAAATGGTTTTGGTATATTTATTGAAAACGTTGTTCAACAACATCAATTACCCGTTGAACTTAATTCTATTGTTACTCGTATAGATACTTCATTATCAAATTCAATTGTTCGAATATATACAAAAGATGAACGATTATTTCTATGTAAATATGTTCTTATTACAATTCCACTTGGATGTTTAAAAGCTCATTCAGTGGAATTTATACCAAGTTTACCTGAATGGAAACAAAATGCAATCGATATAATGGGTGTAGGTCTTTCAAATAAAATTTTTTTACAATTTCCATTTGTTTTTTGGGATCCAACATGGTACTCAATACTTTGTACATCACCACAATTTCGTTTTATTCTATGTCGACCTAATGAATGTATGCTACAAATTAAACTTGCTGCTCGAACAGCATTAGAATTCGAAGAAAAAAATGATAAAGACATAATTGATAAAGTTATGATATTGTTAAGAACTATATTTTCAGACAGAAATGTGCCTGAACCAACTCGATTTCTTATTACTAAATGGAATCTAGATGAATTTTCAAAAGGTGCTTATTCTAATTTTGCTATTGGTGCAGATAATCAAACTTTAATTGATCTTGCTCGAGAGTGTAATGATCGAATATATTGGGCCGGTGAACATGCAAATTATGATGGAACAATTGGTTGTGTGGATAGTGCTTTGGAAAGTGGAGAACGTCAAGTCAAAAAAATAATACAAAAAATAAAGCAATAAATATTACTTTTAATTTAATAAAAATTATACATGTAATATATTATTGATTAATTATAATTACAATACATTAGTTTAATAGTTTAAATAAATATAAATTATTCGATTTTTAAATTTTCTAAAGAAATGTTTTCTTCGAAATTTTAATTATTTTTTTTTTGTCAAATGATTAGAAGAAATAAAAAGAGACACAAACCAAAAAAAAACAAAAGTTTCTTTGAAAAAGGAAGTCTTAAAACAACTAACATACGATGCAAAATATCGATTCTCGTTTCTTTTCAATAAAAGGGTGCTGAAAGAAAACTTAAACACATGGAATTTAAACGTTTCAAATAGAATAGTCTCGAGAAGAATAGATAGAGGAAAACTGATATGATAGAATCAGAAAGTCCTGAAAGATAATTTAAACTTAAAAAACCCATTTTTAGTAAACAAGTTGTCTATGGGATAGTATTTGACAGACATGCATGATGACATCATAACAGGTAGTAGAAAGAAAGAAATGATTCGCATATGATGGCACCCCCAAACAAAATCTTTTTCGAATCGATTGTACCCTCTCCCAAAAACGAAAATTAGACACAAAGGAGTTTGATAATCCATCTATACCACTAGACTAAATATAATAGATCGAATGAATGAACATTTTAGAATTAATTATTCTATGAAGAAGTTGGGTATGTGTGTGTGTATCAGAAGAAGAGAATGACACATCCACACTTTCAATTAACGGGTTAATCAATACTAGTTTATACAACTAAGTTAATCATCTATTTATATCAATCGAGGAGACTACAGAACTCAGCAATAAATATATAAATATTATCTATTCATTGCTAAAAGATTCGAGTTCTGATAATGGTCTTTATAATAATGCACCCGTAGCAACTATCATGTCACCCATAGATATTTCTCAAAATCAACAAAAAGTTATTAATATACCAATTGGAGATGCTGATGGAGATACGCTGCGTTGCCAATGGCCTAGAGGTACCACTGAATGTGGAAATGTTTGTCTACCAGGATCTTTACCAAATGGTACATTAATCTTTCCAAATTTCACAATGATTATTTCTGGCACTAATGTCGGCGAGTAGTTCACTGTTACATTATTTTTAATTGCGATTAACAACTGTGGTTCTTCTGTTAGTATTGTTGATATTTCGACATTGTCGTTTGTTGGAATGGTTCAAAATAGTATTATTCAATAAGATTCAATTGCATATTAAAGACTAGCTGCATCATGATTCACATTTTAATTCAGAAGGGATTGTGCTAACAGCTTTTGTTTTTCGAATAGCTGATCCTATGAATTGGCCATTAATTGGAAGTATTATCGGTTTATTGTTTTTAGTATCTGTACATTATGCAGTTGTCTATATCGGTATTATTACTGGTGTGCTCTAAACCATAACATTCCATCTTTTTTTTCTTGGCATGATTTCTTTTTTTTTTTTTAGTATACCAACAAGTTGGAGAATCTATCAAAAAAATGGTCCATTTAAATTATTTCATATTGATCGATGTACTGATCGAGAATGTCAATGGTCATGCACATCAATGTCACCCAACATGAAATTTCCAACTAAGGTCAAAAATGATCATGCTTATGATATTTTAAATGAAAGTTCAAACAATTCTACAACTAATGATGTATCATTATCAAAGTCGCTCACATCTACTACATCGTGTTCAACGGAAGATGAAAATGATTTATCTATGATTGATTTTCATTCGAACAGTTTTCTATCAATGGATGATAATTATAGTAGATCAACATCATTCGATCTTGATAATGTATCTGTAATAAAAGTTAAAAAAGTAAACAAAATATACAGTGCATTGAATTCAGATATTAAACCTCCGATTCGAAGATCTAATGAAAATGCCGATTCATCCGTTCAACCATCGATCAATAGTGGAACTGTACGAGTATCTCAAATAAAATCATCAACAAAGAAAAAACTAAATACATTGAATAATGAATCAGTAGCACAACACGAAGAAAATTCCGTTATTGATTTGACGAATGCTGTTCGAGTTACTCATGTACCTTCACCAATAACAAAAGTACATTCAACTTCCGCTCCTATTTGTCGTCCATCGATTGTTGAAAATACAATTCAATTGGATGAAAATGTGAAAACTCGATCTTCAAGTGGTTCATCAAAAAAAAAAAATAAAGATAAGGTTTATGTTAAAAGCATTTGATCAAATCATCGAACATCAGCATTTGTACATCGTCCTTCACAAGTTGAAACAATTGAATTGCTACCGTCAAATAATATTTCTAGACATGAAACATCATCACCATCGTCTGTTCGGACAGAACATGTCCGTATAAAAAAGAAACAACCGAAATCAACAAGATCTATTGTTGCATTTGGATCAATTTCGAAAGAAACAATAATAAACGAAAAGAATGATCAACATGAAAGAATTGTACAATCTAGTGTTGTCGTAGAACGAATACCAAGAGAAAAAAGTACAAAATCAATAAAATAAAAAAACAAACCATCCAAATAATGGCATCTAGGATTTTTAATGATATTTTTTACTTGTCAATAGGAAAAATTTTTGTAATACTTAGGTCTATATAAAAGTAGTGACGAAGGTATTTTATTTACGTATAGAAAGCTGAAAAAAACTGTCTGTGAAAAAAATTTCAGGTAGAAATACCGTCATTCAATTTATAGGTGTATGCCATACTAGCGATTAAAATTCTAGTAGAATGCCTATAACTCTAAACAGAAGACCTAAAAGAATTTATTTGTTTTGGAATTTTTCATATCTTATTGGAGTCAACCTTATGCATAGAGTTCGAACTCAAAAGCAATTGGTTAGTTCAAAGCACTCTCTCGTGAAACTCATCAATTAATACAAAAAAAAAACAATTCATTTAATAAACAATTGTAATAAAAAAATTGTGTTTGCATCTTTGTTTTTATTCATCGTAAATTTCTTTTGATGAAGTCTGGATGTTTCGAATCAAATAATTTCTACTAAATAAATTAATTCGTTTGCGTGTTATATAAAGAGATTTCACATAAGTAAAAAAAATAACATTGGCTTAATTAATTAGTTCAATAGCATTGTAAGACTTTTCAATGGTTTATTTTTTTGTCATACATAAAGAAAAAGATTTAGATAAAATCCGATATATCCAATTATACAATGGTTATTATAAAGAAAAAAATCATACTGATTGGAATAATTGATTGAAGACATTGATATGATATGAAAATAGATAGGCTATATCATTCTATCATACTGATAAATAGCGCCCCCTCGAAAATCGATTGTCCACTGTCAAATAAAACTGTCTAGATGCATTTTCTTATTGGTTTGACCAGAAAGACAATAAAGAAAATGACCTTTTCATAAGTCTTAAATTATATTGCAAATAATCATGAGTGAAATAAAACGAGGCATGCTTAAATATTATCATCGTAAGAAAATAATTTCTTTGAAATTCTATATTAAATTTAATCTTCTGTGCTCAATTATATATGTATAGGAGGCTTATTAAGTAAAAAATGGAAAGAATATAAATTTGTACTTTATGATTCAAGTTTACTTACATGGTATTCTGATATTAAACATAAGAAACCTGATGGAATGATTTTACTTAAAGTAATTTTTTTCCTTTCAATAAAATATTATTTTAAATTAATCATTTGTTTTTTTCTCTATAAGGATGTTGAACGATATATTTGTGTTGGTCCATATACAAGGTAATTAAGAAAATATTTCATTTCTATTCAATATTATTAAAATAAAAAGTCTAGATGTTTACCTGATTTTCCTCATCTTGATAATGTATATGATGAAGTGGCACTTATTGCTTTTCCAATGTCTGTAAAAGATCGTGATCGTGATATTGTATGGCTTTTATGTGAAGATCTAGATGATTTAAAGTAAGATGTTTTTTTTTTGTTTCAATTCTCTTTAGATAATTAATATTCGAGAAAGTTTAATGATAATAATATCCTATTTTATAGTTCATGGATGAAAACTATTATTCAAACAGTAAGTAGATTTCTTGACGTCTTGTTGAAACTAAGATGATGAAAAAAAAGTTTAACAACAACGTATTTCTGTTTTTTTCTATTATATTAATGTAACCGTTCCTTTTTCGGATATTAAAATCAAAATTTTTTCGATGTTTGGTGTAGCTTCGATGTGTCTTTTGTCAAATGCTATGGACCTCTAACACGGCCAATTTTCGATCACTTTAGTTTGAGAAAAAAAGTCTTAATATATACAGGAAAATTTGTTTTTTTTTTCATTTTCCTCGAAATCAATTTTTACATAAAAAAAAAGTACAAAATCGCTCTCGTCTCTACGCCATAGTACGTTCGATCGAGTTGAAACTTTCTTATACAGGTATTAGACATTGTTTGCAGTGTCTACTTTTTTTTGTGTTGAAAAATATTGCATCGTTGATTTTTTGCAGATTTTATTTTAAAAAAAATACATGTATTTTTGGAGGTACACTCAGTATTTTGTTCTTTTTATTCGAATGGAAGAAGATAAAATGAAATCAAAAGAAATAGACATTACAAACAATGTGTAGTATCTGTAAAAAAAATTTCAACACTATCAGACTTATTGAGACTGAGAAAGTAGGGTGATTATGAAGCTTTGTGATCCAGATATTTCCTAGAAAGAAGAATTTGGAATCTATGACAATACTGATGAGGTATTCTTCAGAAACTCCGGAAAGTGAAAAGTCTCCTCAAGCAATTAGCTCAACTTCAGACAGTGATTTTACTACACAATAGAGTTTTGTACAGAAGTCAAACACGGTAATTTTCAGGTCTCAAAAGCAATTTTTTAACAATACCATTTTAAAGAGAACACAATGAGGAGTCACCGCATTTTCTCTGACCTTTACTTAAAAAGTTAAAAGCTCCATAAAAACGATAAATAAATGAAATTTAACTTAAAAAATGCCTTGTTTTCAGTTCCTGTGATATTTTTGAAGAAAGGTCGGAAAAAAATGCGGTTATCCCTCTTTTTATTCTCTTTAATATGCATGATAAAAGAGTAGTGTCTGGAATTTGAAAACAACCGTGTTCAACTTTTTCACAAAACTTTATTGTCTAGTAAAATCACTATCTGGATTTGAGCTAATTGCTTAACATTATAGAAAAAATACGTTGTTGTTAAACTTTTTTTCACTGTCTTACTGTCATATTGACTTATATTGTTCAGTTACCGTCACGTGCATTACATATGGAAAAATTCACTAATGCTCGTTCGTCATCCGTTGATGAAAATATTGAAACAATTACAGAAATAAATCCATGTAGGTTCTTTTTTATTTTCCTAACACAAAAAAAATGTTCATGAATCTTGTTGAATGCTTAGCTGACAATGATAGTTCAGAACCATTAATACTCAAAACACAGACAGTTAAACTTCCATTATCAGCTGGTCTTATTGGAGCTCATATACTAGGTCAAACAATGAATTCAAAACAAAATCCATTACAAAAGGCTGGGTATGATTATGGCAATGCTGAATGGGGAACTGGTGAAGGCTGGGGTTATTCTTCACCGGTAAATAAAATTTGAAATATTAACACATAGAGATATAAGTCGATTAATGCATCGGTTTACATCTCTATGAACAAGTTAATTGTTAAATGTGTGCTTATTTTGTTTTTTTTGTTTTAGTCAATTGTTCCTGGATTTGCTGCAATTGGTGGTAGTGGTTCTCGTTCAACTCATATTGACTTAATTCGTACTGAAGAAGATGAACAACAATTTGAAGATCGCATCGGTGAAACAGTTGGAGATGATGAAGCTGTTGAGCAAGCTACTTATGAATTATCGAAGAATGAAATAGACGATCAAGAGAATGAAGAAATACCAAACTACCGTAACGATAACGATGATATTGAACAAAATTATAATAATGATGATCAAGAATATTCAGATATGGAAAAAGATTTTAAAATGATTGATAGTGATATTGACAAATGAATATCATTGTTACATTAGATTTGTTGTTTTTGAATGTAGATATTCGTATAAATTAAAAAAGTAATATCTATTATTCAAGCAAGAAAATGAATTTATTCTTTTCTGGTTTATAATATTTCGCCATTTTATTTTAGAAGGGAATTTATACTATATAAATAATAAGTAGTTTGTAAATAAATAATTATCAAATATCTTTATTCAAAATAACAGTTATTTCTTACAAAGTATACAAGATTATCTAAGCAAACAATTACTCGATAGGTAGACTCACATAATCGAGTAAACAATAAGACATGTTCAAAGTTTGTATTAAAGATAGGAGACAAAAATAAATCTATTTATCCAAAGATTAAGAAAAAAAAAATAATGTCATCATAATCAATAATAATGTTTCGCTTGGGCATTTCGTACCAGTGACTAAGGATCTGCAATGCTTCCTTTCTCCAGTTAAAATGTTGTATTAGGTCTGATCTCGGTCTCATAGATCCAGTTTCGTTTCTGAAATTAAACAACTTTTTTAGAGTCTGTATATTTTTTTGAATACTTATGAAATCTACATGAATAATTTTAATTCTTTAATACAACAAGCATTGATTTACACGTATGTATCAAAAGTAGGGTTCTTCTTGTGAAACTCATATTATATTTTTCTTCGAAAAATATAGTGAGTGTAAGTTTTAAATCAAGGTTCTACGGCTTCTCCCTCGTAGCGACAGAGAGGAAGTCCAAAAATTATAAGATACGTTCCCCTAGCAATCAAGGACAACGCACATCAGACTACTTTTCTAGAATTGCTTAGTAACGAAAAAAGACGCTAAACGGATGTTCTAGAAAATTTTCTAGTACACTTTCAAGCTTTCCTCGAAATTTGAACGACTGGAATACATCTCTGTTCAGTTTTTTATTTTTGCACAGATAAAAATTTATATTCAAGGTGTCAATAATGATTGATAATGGCGCATTGATATGCCACAGTAGTCATATGATCAACATGAAAAACGTGAACTGATCAGATTATAATCTTGAAAAATAGCCAATATTATTATTTGTGAGCCTATCGAAATATATATTAGTGTGTTGAGACTTGGTGCAGATATAATGGAAATGAAAGGCAACAAGGTAAACAAAACATAGAGCGTTCGTAAAAAAAAATTAATAAGACAGATCGTTTCTCTAGCGATCGATTATCCTTAAAAAAACAACTTTAATCTGCTAGAGATTTTTCACTTAACATATTTTTTGTTATTAATAAAATTAGACTAAAGAAAACATATGAGTTCCACATTTTAGTCTTACAGGCGCTGCGCTGACTAGAGCCGGTTGGTTCCGACTCTGAAAATTTTGAATCCGATGGGCTCTAGTTGTCTGAGAACTGTATGAGGTGCGCTAGTTATCAAATACAAAAAAACCAGAAAACTGTATCTCGTATTTGCGCGGCGGCTATTCAATCCCGATTAGAAAATTTCATTGAGATTATTAAAGCGCACTCCGATCAGATCCAGATTCGACGGGCTCTTGCACTGACAAACTTTTTTTTTGTCTTCTAGTGATATGACTCAAAAAATTCTTTTAGAACTGATATTTCTCGCATGCATATCAAATTTCTATGAATGATCTTGTATCAGTGTTCCTTCATCAGTCGTTTTGAATGTATCAAGCTTGACAATCTGTACGACTAGAATTGTTATTGTTAGAATTAGTCCGAGAACAATGCCTGTGCAAGATTAAGTCGACAAGATTTTTCTATTTCCAGTAAGTGCTACCGTTTTTTTTTCATTCAAAAACCGATAAGTGTAACAACAAAAAAGAAATAGTTTATACTAGAAATAGAAAAGTAATGTAACGTCCGCAGAATAGAAGGTGATCCAGAAGAAAAACTTCACAAGGTGTAATAGGAGGCTATGAGTTTTCCAAAAGCTTTTTTCGGAAGCTCAGTTGGTTTCTTGAAGTTTTAGAACTTAAAAACCTAGTTTTTGAGTGAAAAAAAGTATTTTTCCAGCACTTAGTCACTAAAAGCGCTTGTTTGAATACGAGAAAAAATATCAAATAAAAGCATGTATAATCAAATTCTTGATAACAAAATTTCCAGTGCACAGCTGGAATTCAGCCAAACTTGTACATTGTCTAATAGAGATACTTCACAGGCATTAAATTATGTATTCAATTGGCTATGAAATGAGTTCTATGTCACATATACTAAGAATTTATTTGTACAATAACTAAATGACTGTGTTATATTTCTCTTTTTAAATGTAAAATCTTTTGTAATTCACGACGAAAACGTTGTGATGTTAATATATTAACATAGAATGATATAGAATATGGTACATAATAAAAAATAATTGCAATAAATGATATAAATCGATGTTGAGTTTTTTGTTTAACTGATGGAACATTTTCTCTAATTAACATAAAAAATGATATGTAACTAAGTCCACTTGTATAAATTAATGTAAATATAACACTAACAAAAACATTACTAATAAGCATAAGACTTAAATAATGATAACGACGTTGACGACGTCGACAAGAACGTGCTTGTCGTCGAATTCGTTGAATATTTTTTAATGTCAATAAACCAAAAAGAACCATTAAAGTTGGTAAAATAAATCCTGATAGAATTAGATTATGTAATGAAATTAAAAAAGTATAAGATAGACTTGAAAAAAAACATATATGAAGACGTAATGAAATACTACTATATATAAGCATATGAGAAAGAATAATAAACCAAAAACAAGCTGTAAATGATATAATACGATTTGCCATTGATTTTGTATTTATTGAACGATAACGAGATTTATTTAAACTTATTAAATAACGATCAATACAAGCTAAAAGAAGATATGTTTGAGATAGAAAACCACTAATATTGATCAAATAATTACGCAATTTACATATAATAGTTAAACTATGATGAGGATGAATAGAGAAACCAACATCAAGAATATGAGTAGCAAGGCCAACATTCAATATAAATCCATTAGCAAATGATGATGCAAGAAAATAACGAGAACTTGAAGATGAATTTAGACAAGGACGAAGAAAGATTATTGTATTCAATATACATCCAATATTTCCAATAATAAAAAGCAATATTAATACAGTATAAGTCAATTGTTTTTGTAGCATTTTCAAGGTGTCAATTATTAATTGATCGTCTAAATTGATACTAACACTTGTGTTCATATTTAGTTCCTAAATATATCAATAAGTAATTTAGATCAAAACAAAATAATCGACATTTTAATTTGTTCTCATGACAAAAAATAATCATTGTTTTCTGCTATTAACAACTTTCAAAATTTTTCTAGAAATCTATATATATATACATCTTATCATTGAATAGCAGGAATTAGGCTAAAGATGAGAACAACATTTAGATCAAGTGACTAGATCAGTCCTTCAGAGCTATGGTTCTCTTTTGATACAGTTAAAATTTAATATATGTTATTAATAGATAGATCTCGACAGTCTCCTCTTCCTTCCTTTCTCTAAAAGCTCTTACCCTATTCTTTCAGTATATTTTCGTTATATGACCCATTAATTGCAATTAACTATTCAACTTGCATACGGTACAAACCTTTTGACATTTAAACTAAAAACGAGGTCATATTATTATTATTCTCATTTCCTATTCACAGAACTTTCACGTGATTGCGTGATCATCGGTGTTTTACTGTTGAACTCTTTCATGTTTTAAAAAAAATTTGATCTTCTTTCCTTTCAATGGATCACGTAGGAGAATGTATGAATTTTTAATGAGAAAATAAACTTATTTGAGAATTAAAAAAGGCATTTATGATTAAGATTCTGTTATTTTCATTCTACATAAAATAATGTTGTTTTAATATCTCAGAAAAAAAAATCTATTTGCTTACTTCGATTTACCTTGACTATTAATATGATCTTTAGTAGATAAAAGAAAAAGACATTGACATAAGACTCAATTATCAACTAATAATTACTTGAATAGATTTTTAAGTCTTATTAACATCATTGTTTGACATGATTGTAAAAATGGCAAGAATATTAATTGAACTATTTATATATTCTTTCTATTATTATATTTAGAAAAAAGTGGTTTATTATTATTATCAATATCATATTATTATTTACATAAAGTGTGGAACACAATGTTTTTTTTTCATATATCTTTACTATTCGATTTTAAAGAATATAGATCTATACACCCAGTTTTTATTTATACAAGCAAACTTCAAAAAAAATCCTTCAAAATGATTATCTTTAATCGCAATAGAAAAATTTAACTTTTTTTTGTATACGAAGAAAAATATTAGAGCAGGTTTTTGAATCATTCTGATCTTTAATAAACGTGCTGATACCTATCTTGGTAGAAAATCAGTTCTCTTTAGTAAGGTGTGGGCAAGGCAAAATTCAAGTAGATATTTTCTCGTTCTTTTCTGTATAGGCATGTACCAGGGCAGAGAAGTCGCTGACAAAGATAAGAATTTTTCTTGGTAAAGAACCTACGAAAGTTGTATTGTGAACTACTCAACTTGGCTTCATCTGACTGCGTATACAACGGAACTGACCGATCAGAGTGAAAAATATTCGAGTCTTGGTAAAAATTTGTTTTGGTTGCAGTTTTTTGACCGAGATTTGGACATTTTTTGCTCTGATCGGTTTGTTCAGTTGCACATGCAGTTAGATGAAGCCAAGTTGAGTAGTTCACAATACAACTCTGGTAGGTTCTTTGCAGAGAAAACCTCTCATCTTTATCAGCAATTGATGCTGATTCCAAATATGCTATCTAACTTGCGATGCAAAAGTAATGGCACAAAATGTCGACCCTTATATTTCTTCATAGACATGGCTCTAGAAAGACATTTTTTTACCATTCGATAGGAAATTTTCTCTTCTTTCGAACTGTATATAATTTGTTTCTGTCATGCGTTCATAAACGAAATGACATGAAAGAATGAAGAAATGTCCGTACGAGAAATTTTTGATCTTTTCATGAATTTATCGAATAAATCTTGTAAATCAACTGAAATATGATGTTAAGATGGTAGCATATATATTAGCAGTTGTCACCTATTCATGAACGAAAGCAGAAATTTCATTTTTTATTAGAAAAAGCATGAATAACAAAAAATCTTTATTTAACAACAGAATATAGTCCACCATGTCACATGTGACGAAGATTTTTTCAGACACATTGGACTATAGCCTCTAATGTAGTTTTACTAAGTTGTTTGACCTTTTTGTTTGATTCTAGAAGCCAATACATTTACATTTTTATAAACCTTTCCTGTCAATAAAACCAAAAACTGTTTCAACTGGTATTTCCGTTGATTTACAAGATTTCTTCGATAAATCTATGAAAAGATCAAAAATTTTTTGCACGGACATTTCTTTGTTTCTTCATGCGATTTCATTTATGAGAGCGTCACAAAAACAAATTATACACAGTTCGAAAGAAGAGAAAATTTTCGTATCAGCTGATCAAAAAATTATCATTGTACTTTTTAACTTAACGATAATAATAAAAATTGTTAAATACGACAACATTTTCCAATCTTTTGTCTAGTTTTGCCATTAAAATGGGAAAAAAATTCAATTTTCTCAAGCATAAAACAGACTCGAAAAAAATAAATAAGCACTTTTTAGCCCATGATCTGAAGATTCTAATGAAATAAGACACTTACTTTTATTTCTTGTTACAAAAAAACTAAATAGATTTAAAAGAATACTCACAGATACGTGGTATAGGTACTCCAACAAACCATATATAAAAGAACGAGGAAAATCTACTCGATTTTTGCATTTGTTGCACCTTAATCTCTTTTTCCTATGAAATCAGTTAAAAGAAACTTTGGGGTATGTCAAAGTTATTTTTTTGTTGATCAATCATTGGATCATCATACAGTAAGTTCTGGCGGAGGCATTACAACGTCGAAGCAGCATACAGATCATGCTGAGTTCAAATACAGCAGCTGTATTTGGCAAGTAATGCAGTAGATTAGCATATCAGTAATAGTCAAGATAAGGAAATAATTAAAAAATAATCGTTATATAATATCTTTCTATATTTAGACAAAGGGCTGAATTATTATATTTCAGTTAGTGTTGGCAACTTTGAAGGACACCTTTGAAGTTTGCTCGTATAAATAAAAACTCGATGTATAAGTCTATCATTTACAAAATAAACTTAATTGAATTGAATAGTAAAGATATATAGGTAACAAATTTTGGAATACACTATACTATCAAAAAAGTACTTACCCGATGATAAAACTATATAGATAACTATTTTGGTTTGGTAAGTTGACAAATATGAGATACTAATTATGGTTCAGAATGCTTCTAAATCTCATAGACATCATTTTTTCTACAATTTTCCATAGCCGTAGTTAGAGAATTGTTTAGCAAAAAAAGAAAAAGAAAGATTTCTTACTGTGGAAGGAAATTACTTCTTGACCTAAAAACACTATTTTGTATTTTTCTTGTTAACTAAGGCTTGAATTATTGTTGCAAAAAGCTTATGAAGTCAATTACTCATTATTAATTAGATCTCAATTATATTCAAATACTTGAACAAAAAATATGCTGTCTATTCATTTTCTAAACCAACGAATCGCAGTTCCAATTAAGAGATAATATAATGACAAACAAAAAACATATAATCGTACTTCTATGTTAGCAAACTGTAAAATTATAAAAATTAACAATCAAGAATAAAATATGACGTACAGACTGTCAATTAAAAAGCTTTTAGAAATAAAATAAAGAAAAAAGAAACGTATTAGAAATGATATATTAAAAAGAAATGCTCATGCTAATATTATCAACGCTCAACAAAATATAGACGACTTAGATGTGAAAAAGAGAAAAATGGATATTTTTTTTTTCAATGGTTTTCTTTGTCAGATCTTATAGAAGAGAATAAAAGATAATACTACATTGTGCGTGACATGCACTGATTCACATCTTTTGAATTTATCCAAATAAAACATTTCGATTCTTGTCATTTAATATATCAGAGAATAGAAATACGTCATAAACAAGCAAATTACCGATGAATTATTAAAGATCAACCATTCTATTGTGTAAATGTTTCATTCGATACATTATTATGGCACATATCTGAAGATGTGTCATACGATAGAAATCATGTTAAAGGTATTCTTTATACACTTATGTTTGTTGGTTTTCTTTAGTACTATCAGATAATTTCTTTGGTTTCTCTCGGTTTCTTGCCTCATTTTTTTTCTTGCTTTGTGAAGCACGATCACAGATCATGGCACAGACGTTACTATGGAAATGTCACACACCTTGGTAAACATCTTAGCGGTACTTACTGCTCCTTTCGGAGTTACCGACTGTGACAGATGTTATTGATATACGATTACAGACTGTATAACAATCAAAAGTCTCGATGTAGGAAGGGCTAGGATGGACTAGCCTCCTCATTTTTACGGCATATTTGCGGAAATTTTGAGATGTTATCGGAAAACTCTCTGCCAAGTTTAAGAAAGCAGCTTTTCTCAGTCATTTTCTGCGAGACAGACCACTTCAGACTATTTGTCAAAGGTTTAGCCTCTTACACTTCTAAAAACTATTGAGAACTCTACTATCAATAACGTCTTGTTGTACCATATGGCCTACATCCTTATTGCACTTGTGGAGAATAAAGTAAAAGTATAATGAAGAAATATGTTCTAAAATAGATAGAATAAAAAAATCTCCTGTAACTATCAACAGTAGCTACACTGTGTTTCACATTTTAATCCTATAGAAATTGCGCTAACAGTTTTTTATGTAATCACTGATATATTTTTCACTTGTACTATGGTACCTCTTGGTATAGTTCATTGAACATCTGATATAAATATCTGCTGTTTTTATGTGAAGGAAATCTGCTCTAATTCTGTTAATAAATTTCTGTTACATACCAATGTATTACTAATCTGATATGTATGGTTTTCTTTTCATGTTTACCATATTGTTCTCTTGAATTAAGCTCTCCACTCAGAAAAAGTCAAGTTTGGTCGAATTTATCAATTTTATGATTTATCGATTATTAGATAGAGCAAACTGTTTACTGTCGAATGCACTATAGCTTATTGATTTTGTGATAAGATTTAAGAATATTACATAGATTTTTCTCAATCCTTATACTGTGCATGTCGCTAAGCATGATAATTGCATGCAATACTCGAACATAATAAAATCACAGAATGGAGTGAAGATGTTGGTGTGGATGAACTGAAGACTTACATCAACACTAGTTTTCGTGCGACTCAGATTTCTTCGCCATTTTAAACCCTAAATAGTTTGGCTTAATGTCAAAATGAAGATAAAAGTCAGTTCTACAATTCAACAGGACCAGGTTTTTCGATTTTTTCTTTAATGTTTACTAGAAACTCAATCGTCCATGACTTCACCTTCTGATTTTTCTGTACTTTATCAGAGGAACTTTCGAGAAAAATGAGCTAGGAAAAAAAAATGGAAAAATCGGGCTCTGTACAGTTTGTCATACCACGTCTCGACTACATTTTAAAACCAACCTAAACTTTCTAGAATTTAAAATGGCGAAGTTTGGGATGAATAGTAGAGCCTGTCAAGTTGATCCTGCATCTGGACGTGAGTCTGAAAATTTTCTGTTAACCAGGTTGGGATCGAACGGACTCTAATCATCTGAGTAATGTGTCGAGTGCGCCAGCTACCGAAGATACACAACTAAAAAAAAAAACATATCTCGTATCTTCGAGACGACTATCAGATTCCGATTAGAAAATTCCAGTGAGAGTATCAAAACATACTTTGACTGGATGCAGGTTCAAAAAATTTTGAATCCAACGGGCTCTAACGCATGAACACCTATATTTTGATCCATAATCTATAGCTTACGCTTCGTCTGAAAATTTTATCAAGATTAGATGATCAAAAAGAAATTGTTTTTCTGAAGAGACTCCCTTAAGTATCAATTTACCATTGAAATTGGTTGAAAATTGTTCCTTTAAATAAATATATCTATCTTCATTGATATATTCACGGAAAAGAAACAAAACAAAAACAAAAAAAAAAGGAAAAATAAAATTCAGTCATTATCTTCCAATGTTTGTATTATTATTAAACATATATGTTGGATAATTATTCATCAATGTTATTTTTAATGTTTTTATATAATCAATAAGTTCATTTTGTAAATTTTCATTTTCTTTTAATAAAGGATCTTTATCTTTTGTTGATGTACGTCGTCTTGAACGTCTTTCAATATTTTTAGTTAATTCAATATTCATACGATGTAATTTATCTAATTCATTATCAAGTAATGCAATACGTTGAAAACGTTTACGTATTTCATCATCTAATAATGATTGATCAATTGAAGAAAGATATTGTTTATATAATTCATCAATTGATTTTGATGATGTAGAATTATTACTAACATTTAAAAGAGTATTATTTGTTATTATTGAATTTGTACGAGGATTCATTGGCCGATCAAATTGTATTGAGATATCATTTGTTGAAGCTTGATTAGAATTTATTGGCATCGATGGATTAGCTACAGTTGATATTTGTCGACGTCGGGGGTCTATAGAAAAAAAAAAGAATAATTTTTTTTCATTAATAAATTAAATTTATTATTACCTCGATTAATTGATTGATTAGGTGTAGGTATTATAGTTGGATCAAGTCCATAACTTTTACTAAGAAATGTAGCAAAATCTTGAGCATTATTTACTAATTGTTGCTGTGGTTGTGATTGAACTTGTTCGATATTTTGAGGATTAGCATTAATTAATGCTTGAATTAATTGTGAATTAAGACCAAGTGTTTTAAAAAATTCTAGTACACCATTTGTCGGTGTAGATTGTTCTTGTCTTAAAGGTTGATCTATAGTTACTGACGATGAAATTGTATCAATATTATTAGGTCGACGAATTTCAGAACGAGAACGATCACGATTACGAGGATCACGATTTTGATTTAATTCGTTAGTTATTAAAGACCGATGGTAGGACATTATTTATAAATACTCGTTGTTCGAACAATTGATTGTCAGCCAGCTGACATCCGTTTGATGAATCATGCATTTATGTGTAGAAAGAAATAAACAACCAACAAAATATCTTATGAAAGATGGTGCGCTTAGACATTCATTGATTATAAAGTGAATAGAAATTTAAAAAGGAACAAAATGTCTCAGAAAAAATAAAAAATAGTCATTTTTCTTGAAAATCAAAGATACCTCTAATGTATACTGACTATTCTCTGCAGTTTTTTATGTTTGTTCCGAACATTGTATTTATTTAGTTCAATATTGCAATTAAAATTTCAAAATTCGATTCTATTTTGGTCAATGGTGTAGAAAACATGGGTTTTGTCAACAATGCTAACACATAAAATTAAAACAATATATAACTTTTTTTTTATAAATAAAAACCAATTCGATTCAATGTAATATAAAATAAAAACGCATATGTATTTTTTCAAAAGAAAATATTTATACTTTGATAATCGAAGAGATTAAATTTTATGATAATGTTTTTCTTCTAAACTATCAATTTTATTTATAGACAGTGTACTCAAGTGGTTACGAGGTCTGCCTGCTAATGAATCGTTGCAGTGAGCAGATTCCCTCTGGGAGCGAAGGTTCGAATCCTTCCACTGTCGTGGTTTTTTTAATGAAAAAAAAATTTTTCCAACATATCTTTAAATTTACAAGAAATCTTTTGAAGTTTTTTTTTTAAAGCGAACTACGGATCTTCGATAAAATTCATGTATACAGCAGTTATTATCGAAGACATATTACAATTTAAAGAAATAAATAGAAGAATAATGATGACAGCTGTTGGAAAATCTTTTGTTTTTTTATTCGTACAATAGTATTATTGTCTTTTGTGTCAGTAGCATTAATGGCTCTGGTCACAAATCTTATTTCATTGTTCGAAATAATAAAAGTATTTCTCCTGAGGGAACCACTCGAGATGGTAACTCGGACTTGAGAGAAGACACTCTTCGTTTTGATAGGATCTGTGGAGACTAGAAAAGGTCTAGGCGAATTTCTCTTCGTGCGTTGTCCTTCTCGACTTATGGCTGTTTCCCTGAGTCTTTCACCCTTGGTAAAGTGCTTATAAAAAAAAATCGAACAAACGAATTTTAGCCTGAAACTTTGTCCATAAGCAGATCTTGAAACCATTAGAATATTCAAAAATTTCAGTCAAAAGAATGATTTCTTCTTGAGATAACAAGCCTCCATAGATCCATAATATCTTATAAAAAAGGACAGACAATCTGAGTTTTTTTTAAAGAGTTAACATCTCAAAAAGGAATCATTCTTGTTAGCTGAAATTTTTAAGGATATTCTAATGGTCTCAAGAGCTATCTATGGGCAAAGTTTCACACAAAAGTTCGTTTGTTTGATTTTCTTTTTATAAGTAAAAAATCGAGCAAAATGACCATAGTCCCTAAAGAACATCTCAAGAGAAGGAACCCATCTAGGACTTCTCTAGTCACAACAGACCCTACCTAACGAAGAATGTTGCATCTCGAACGCTACGTATCATCTGGAGTGGTTCCCTTGGAAGAAAAAAAACATTTGCAGCTTTTCACAAGTCAAAAAGATACAAACTAAAGTTTTTTTTTCATGTTCTGACCTTTGATAGTTCGCCCTTGAAAATAAAAACGAACGAGCCCGCGATAGCTCAGTTGGTAGAGCGGAAGACTGTAGATGTGATACATGCTGTAATCTTTAGGTCACTGGTTCGACTCCGGTTCGCGGGATTTCTTTTTGTTTCTGCTGGTTAGAAAGAAACAAAAAAAAAGGTAATACAATATACTTTTTTCGATGCTTAGAGCAATAGAATGATGTAAATTTTTCTTTCACAATATATCAAAGTTATGTTTTGCTTATGCACAGTTTTATTAACTCATAATATTCCTGGCGACTTTTACGATACCCAACATTTTAAAATCCTGATTTATTAGCATAATTAGCCGAATTATAATCTCACTATACAAAGCAATCATCTGAATTTTGAGTATGAAATGTTGATGGAGAAATTTGTTGAAACACATCAATTATGTCATTCAGTAAGGTCGTCTAAAAAAACTGTCAACAATAAATGATTTATCTACACAACTAATTACATTAAAAGATAAAATAGTAACAAAAAAACAAACAACTTGACATTGTACTTGCATTTACGAAGAGTAACGCGTATCGCATATTTTCTTCGATAATATTAGTTATTAATATACATTTTACTTTCCTTATCTGAAGTAAACGTAGCATTCGATGATAATGATATTTTAAGAAATGCTATATAAATCAATATGAAAAAATTTCTATGCAGATTTTATCTTTTGGCAGAGAGATTTAAAGCTTCGGGAGAGTTATTTCAATCTTCATAAGGATATCGTTCCCTCGCTGGATAAAACTGTGGATCAGATCTGCCACTTCGAAAATAGTAATTTGTTCTAAACAAGTCCAAACCATTGTGACTCTTGGCTCCACAGTGGAAAGATTCTCATCGTTTTTCACTCCTTTCATTAGAGTATTTGTGAACAGTTCTATACGATTCAATCGTAGCATCTTGTATGATCATGCTTGTTCGTTACATAAACCATTATCTATAGAAATTCTTATAACAGATGTATAAACTTTCAGAAAATTGTTGATACACAAAAAAGAAGGACTTTTAATACATACCAAATATGACTGAAATCGAGATTAGAATTCAAAATTTTTCTTATTAAAAAATGAAAACAAAAAAAAAAATATCTAATATGGTCAATGGTATGACATTAAGACGCTCTTATCCTTCGATATCTAAGCAGTATTTATCATAGTTATCGTAAAAATAACGTTTTTCTAACTTTTTTAAAACATTTTTGACATAAGAAGAATTACAAGCATTTGATCTCTCAATAAATTTTTACAACATTTCATTTCGACTAATAATTTATATTAAGCTATTTTTCAAAATTCATCTAATGAGACAGGTCAATTTAGATTTTTTCACTTCTATACAATTACATCTTGCAAAAGTCTTCATTCATTGATGTCTATTATCAATAAATAAACTTTAATAATTTACTGTCAATGCATTCAATCCATAAGAAAAACACGATTGTCTTGATAATAAGAGAATATATTGATTCTTATCATTTGATATATGTTATTTTTCCATAAGAAGAGAAACAAAATCGATTAATTATAGATATCGATGAGTTCTTATTTAATGTGCACAAAAAAAAAACAAAAGAAAAAAAAACATCTGCTATTGTATACTGTTGTTGAAATCCAATGAACACCCTAGATGCATCAATGCCATCATATACAAACACAAATCGACTATAGGTATACATACATAAATAAATATAAATATAACTGGTTTAAATCATCTTCTCGGATAGAATAAAGATTATAGCTAATATATATATATATATAGGGAATATGTTCACTGATGGCTGTATGCATATCAAATAAAATATGCGCGTGTGTCCTTGTTAAGATTTCGATTTTTTTTTAAAGACATGAAGAATTTCAATGCCATATATGAGTTGTATCATCATCATCATCATCATCATCATCATCATCATCATCATTGTCAGATATATCATGTTCATCAGCCAAACGAAAATCATCATCATCAGTCAAATATGAACCATGAGACTCGTCATCATCATCAAATAGAAAATCGTATCTTTAAATAAAAAGAATATATTGTTTTTTTCATAAATTCAAAAAAAAAAGTTTTAGACATACTCATCAAAGAATCGACCAAAATCTTCATTGGAAAAGACACTTAACATAAAAACATCTGAAAAATTTTCTAATTCTCCTTGTGCATTAATACGTTGACGACGACGTGGTGGACCCAATTGAACAGGTTGACCGTTTTTATCAACATGTAAATAGAAACATTTGGAACCAAATGGACATAAACCATCGCCACGTTTAAAAAATTTACAATGAATTTGTCTATCGAGAAAAAACAGCATATCTTCTTATAATAGTTAACATTTTTTTATTATATATTTATTAATTTTAACACAATAGAACCCATTGGTTTCAAAATTTTCGGATTCGAATACAACCGGCACTATTACATGACTACCTTTAGGACTATTATTTGTTGTCCACTTGGAATCTGTACGGACTCCAATCGATAAAATAATTGTAATATACGAAGTTGTTACTAGTTTATTATAGATACATGAAGACTTAATGACAACAAGAACAAACAGAAAAACAATTTGTTTGAACTATTGATTTCGTCTTTTTTTTTTCATGGTCTTTATCCATTCTCGATTTTCGAGACGTTTGAAATCATATATCACCACTCACATGTAATTTGAACTAGTCTATTATAAACAGACCAACTACATACAATTGACTGATATTATCAATGTACTGTACTAAGTGTTCTCAACGCATATCTAAAAAAGGACATGATTTGATTATTTATTATGAATGCATAACATTACAGTCAAGTTCATTAGGGTCTTTCGGGCGAATCTCAGGTAGTCAACAAGCATTTACATGCACTTCTAAAATGATCTTTTTACATAACTGATGAATATTGTCAACACACTCTACTAGGCTTCAGTAGAGTATATCTAGAAGATGAATGGTTTTATCTAATATTATGTATGTATAATAGTATAATGAAAGTAGCTTGGGTTGGCGTGGACTCCATGTCAAGGTTAATAATATTCCTTACTATAGTGAATCGGTGATATCAGATTCTAAATTTTTCGTGTAATATTAATTGATAATTAAAATAATACTGGCAAGAAAAAGTATTCGAAACGTCTTTATGAAAATCTGAATAAGTCACTTGTTGCTCAAATCTAAGATACTTGCAGAAATGAAATCTTAATTAAAATTTATCATTTTTTAATCTATTTCTTATTATTCATATGAATACAAACAATGAACTTAGTAAAAAACAAAAACTCTTTATCAATCGAATTATTCATACAAAAAAAGAATCTTTTTTTAACTCACTGAAGATT